ACCTACCTACCTACCTACCTACCTACCTACCTTTCCCAGTTAGCAATAGCACTTAGACTTATATACCATTTCACAGTGCCTTATAGCCCTCTCTAAGCGGTTTACAGAGTCAGCATATTGCCCCCCAACAATTTGGGTCCTCATTTTACCCACCTCGGAAGGATGGAAGGCTGAGTCAATCTTGAGTCTGGTGAGATTTGAACTGCCAAATTGCAGGCAGCCAGCAGTCAGCAGAAGTAGCCTGCAACACTGCACTCTAACCCCTGTGCCACTACAGCTCCAAGGGTATAACTTGCTTTTCTCACCAGCCAGCTGAAAAATGGGGCAAAAAGATCCTTGGTTTCTATCAATAGAAATAAAGAAAATGCTTCACTGATTTCTCTTTCCTGTCAATATTTACCCTCCTTTCCCCAACTTGATCAACTCATTGGCAAAAGAAAGTAGCAATCCTGAGCAGAGGTGAGACAAGCTTAACGTAAGTGAGATGATGTTTTCTTTTCATTCCCAGAGTTGTGCTCAAAAGTCTCTGTTTCCCACAGTGGAAAACCAGGAATGTGTGAACAGGTTAGTGAAGGGGAAGCTTACGTGCATTCATTCCCCTACCATCCACCCACACATCCGTTCTGTCTAAGTTTGCTGGAGAAGGTAAAGAACAAAAAATGTGGATGACTGTCACGCATGTGTACTGTATGTTGTCCATGCTTATCTTGTGACACAGACATATAATAGTATATACAGCCTCTACTCCATAAAATAATGAAACAATTGGGCCAAAATATTTGTTCATTCCTCAGCTAAATAAACTAAATATACTGGGATTTACAAACCAGAGGTTAAAATAGAATTTAGTCCAAGTAAAGCAACAAGAGTTGCTATTAAAAGACTGCTAGAAGGGCTGAAATAATAGTAGGATATAAAATGCTCCATTAAAACTTTCATTGTGTTATTGTAAAATTGACATAATAATCATTACAGAACATTGTGTACAGGCCTGGTAAAAAGAACACACTGGAAGAATTTATGCAATATCTTATCCAGCTAAAAATCCCTGGTGAAGCTTCCTTGATGTAGAATAACCAATGTAACTATTCATAGATGAACATCTGTATTCGTTCCAAGAGCATAGTCAGATGGCTGTATTCATATATTATCTTCCTGCTCCATTATCAAGCTTTTTTCTGTCTCAGGAACAAGCTGTCATGTGGTGCTGTCCTTACAGTTTTATTGCAGAATGTGTTAAGGAAAGGGAGTAGATTCCCCAGGCTTCCCGCACTCTGAGTGTTACCTGCTGACAGAGAAAACATCAACCAGTCACTTACTTTAAAGTGTGATGGAGGCTATAGGTAAACTGCCTGGGATAAACCATCTCAAATTGCTTGATGGCTAAGTTGCTCTAATAGCAGTAGCATTTAGACTTATATACTGCTTCACAAGGCTTTACAGCCTTGTCTAAGCAATTTACAGAGTCCAGATATTGTCCCCCCAAAATCTGGGTCCTCATTTTACTGACCTCAGAAGGACAGAAGGCTGAGTCAACTTTGAGCCACTCACAATCAAACTCCTGGCACTGAGCAATGATCTAGCATGTATTCTAACCACTGCACCACTGCGATCACTTGGGTTTCTTTCCGAATAAGAGTTTAGCACTCTTTTGAAAGAGTGCTAAACTTATATTAAATGCAAGACTGACTGATTCATATATAACAGTTGGACAGGAAGGATTACAAGAAGCTCTTACTTCCTTTATCCATACCCTTCCTTCACATCTGCAACCTGTTAGCCCAGCAGGCATGAAGTAGGCACAAAGTAGATATGAAGTAGATATAAAGTCAACCTGTTAGTCTAGCAGGCCTGAAGTAAGGTAAAGTAAGAAGGGGTGATCATTAATAAGCATGCTGTTATTTATTTATTTAGCATATGGTATATCATACATGGACTAGCAATATATATTAACTTTTCATCTAGATTAGTAGAACACAATAAAATATAAATGCTTAAAAGATCTATGTTTAAATACCAATATCTAGGCCATTTAACCATTAACAGATACTGGACCGGTATATGCCCACTGTTTACAGACAGTCATGGTGTGATCTACAGTTTGACGTGGGACCCTCCAGCAAGCCATATCTACTACTCTAAACAGAATTCTACATAAGAGGCCATTTTCTATTGCTTATGGAGAATAGCATTACACCAGCACTGTGGGTATATTGGAAAGCCATTAAGACCTGGTGATTCCCTAAGGTGTTTTTTCAAATGGCAACTGGACTTTGTTTTTCCTTGAAGATGTTTCACTTCTCATCCAAGAAGCTTCTTCAGTTCTCCAGTCAGAGAACTGAAGAACTCCAAACATTTTTTAAAAGATCACCAAGAACTGACAAGCACATTAGAACCTGTCAACCATTATTTGGGCAGCTGCTTCTGTGGAAGTAAGGTATGACCACATCATCAGTCACATGGTTGATGGAGGATTCTAATGTCCACAGCAAAAACAGTGTCTGGAGAAGGGGAAAAGCTCTCCTTTAAAACTGGAACAGCTAAAGAGAATTTCAAGATCCTTCAACTGTAAACTGGGGACGAAGCAAGCAAAGACAACATCATGAGAACTTTGGATTTAAACATAGTTTGTGAAGCATGTTTGTGATTCAGTTGGAAACCACCTCAAGAAGATCTCTTTTGGAGCCCAAACTAGATGCTCAAAAATAGGTTTTTTTTAAAAAAAAATGCAGTACAGGGGAAATCAGACATCGGGGTATCTAAACAGTAAGTGGATGGCCATTTTTAAGTTGTGATCTTCTATACTGTTCTGATCTAGACTGAGAACCTGGTATACACAAGATGCTTTTAGACTACAAATCATGCTATTGTTCATCTACTCTGACCCTGAAAAAGTGGGCTCGATTTTCTTTAGCCCATTCAATATATTATTCCATTTCTTCTCAGAAAGGAAAAAAAAAAATCCCTCCATGACCACAGACATTCTGCGACATAATGATACTTACTGATAATAAGATGTTGGGTACTGCGTGATACACAAATTATCACCTGTGGGTTTTACTCTGATGACTACCCACCTGAATAGGAGTTTAAATTCATGCAAGGGGGGACAGATACCATTCAGAAGGGTTCCAGCTACTGAGGGAAGAGCTTTAACGAAACTCTAGGCACCAACCTGTTGTTCTGTTTACATCTGGAAGAGAATTGTGGGGTAAGAGTCAAGTTTGATAATGGTGAATAATGATGCTTATAAGATACTAGAGGGAAATAAAAACAAATTTCTGATTCCTTCATACAGATACCGTCTTGAAATATGAAGATTATAATTTTACTTCTTTCTCTTTTGGGGCTGACATTCTCCATTCCAGTAAGTTATCTTTAAAATTTTGCATGTGTTTCTTTTGGTGGTGTACCTTCTTAGCAAGCTGAAAGTGTATTATGTACTTCATAAAGCATAGAGCCAAGTTTCACCCTGATGCCAAAAAGACTTGTTCTCTGTAAATCTAAGATTGCACCAGCACCAAATCCTTCCCCATCTTTCAAAATTTGGGATTTTAATTTGTATAAAGTAATTTGGTTCTTTATCTGATCTTACCTATTCTCATTAGGTAGCAAAATCTCATGGATTAACAGCTGTAAAAATGTCCAATTACAAACATTTCTAAATAGAGTTTCAGTTTTCTTGAGGCTATTCTGGGGTATATTTGTTCTCCACACATCCTAGGGAGAGAACTACAGATGTCTTTATTTTACATTGTTGTAGGAAGGAGAACTGGGAGCAAGGCATGTGCTGAATTTTAAGCTTTGTCAAGATTTTGTGGGGTTTTTAAATGATGTTTGGAAGAGGAAGTTTGCAATTGTTTCTTTCAGTTTGTTTTTCAGATAGCTTGTCTTCAGGATATATATATATATATCCTTCTGGGCAGCTTGGAACAATCTTAACCACTTGGGTTAAAATGTATAAAATAATCCCTCACCTTCTCTTTTGAAGGAGAGATGAGGAAATCACACTCTTATAGTCAACTCGATCCCTTAGATTTCACATGTGAAAAGTCTGGTGCATTGAGAAATATCTAAACAACGATAATACTCTACTATTTGTGCAATGTCTGTGCATGGGCTTATGTACATGTTCAGAGATTGAAAGTAATATAATATTCTGCTGGCTGAATTGAAAATGAGAACAAAAATAATATATTACCTTCAGAAGATGTGGGTGTTCCATCACTGGAGGCTTTCAAAAAGAGAGTGGACAACAATTTGTCTGAAATGGTTTAGGGTCTTCTGCTTGAGCAGGGAGTGTGGACTAGAAGATCTCTGAGGCCCCTTCCAATTGTTCTATGTTCTAACAAGTTTCAGTATTCTAGGACTGGACTTCTTCTTGTGTTTTTATTTTGTTGAAATAAAGTTAGAGGGGGGGAGAGGAATAAAGAGAAGTTGAGAGGAAAAAGAGAGACTGAATCAGAGCCTCCCTATCTTTCCTTTTAATGGTTTAAGGGCCCTGGAGCAAGCCTAAGAAACTGAAAAAAAATTTTTTGAAGGACTTTAAACTTATTTAACATCCTTTAAGGAAGTTACCAAACATATTTATATATTGAGCATTGATTCTATTACAAACACACAGAGAAGTGTGAACTAGAACAGAAATAAAATGCATAATGTTAAGCAGAACTATAACCAAGGGGGAGACAAGAGTGAAGGAGAAAGATGGTAAAAAGGAAAGAGAGAAAAGGAGAGACACAGAGAGGGAGAAAAAATGGTTAGTGATAAAAGAAACCAATAGCAGACAATATCCATATGCTGAGAAAACATCAAACATGTGAGTCCATTGAAGATACCAGGAGTTGAGCAAAACTCAATTGAACTCCCAGGTGACCTGACTTTCTTTATTCTATATATTTGTAGGACTAAATCAGTGTCCCCCAATTTTCTTTTCTCAAAGAAAAAAGTTTAAAGCTTTGTAGGGTCACTTTAAGTTGGCCTCCAAGAGGTCCCCCATCTTTGTGGCTATGTAAAGTGAGGCCAGGAGGAGCAGATTTGGTTCTTAGCAGCTGCTCTGATCAAATGGATGAAAGGAAAATAGAGAATGGCCTAGGAAAGGACATTGATTAGGAAATTATCTTATTGCTCACAGCAATTTACACCTTAGTGCCTTTCCTGAGCACTATTCTAGGAAAATAATCTAAAAAATAGTAAGAGCAAAGAGCCTCTCTAGCCATGAATTTTGGTGTCTTTCAAACTGGTGATTGTCTTAGGGTTGGAAATCCCAGGAGAATTTCTCAGTACTACATTAAAATGTTTTGGTGATGTGTTGGTAATTTAACAGTTGAGGAAAGCTGTGAATAGTTAAGACTCTGTGATTCTCTTTTACCTCTGTGCTTTTAAAGAGCCACCAGAAAAGGAGTGAACACTCATTGAGAAATGAATCATATGTTATGTTAATGTTTCTCTGGCAACCAATACAACCTTAATATCGCTGGGAGTGTGCAAATAACTCCCCAGAATATTCATATGTTTGATATAACAAAGTGCCTGGTACACAATGCATGTCATAATTTTTTGTACTCAAAGAATGTAAATGAGGGTTAACTTCTCTTTTTGATTCATTATGGGTGGTTAATGGAAATCTTATTTTTGTAGCTCCCTAGCCTTGGACAAAGCTGTGAGAATGGTGTAGTATTGTTCCTCCTAGGTGATACAGAACATGCTTCTAACACTGAAGTGTTAGAAGGAGTCTTTGTAAGAGGCTACTGCAGCAAATCTTAGCTTGAATAATGACTTAGGTGGAGACTAAATTGCATAAGATTAAGACATATTGGTATGCTTCATTTAGAATGTATGTTCTTTCTCCTCAGATCAACCACATTGGTGGGATTCTGGCTACAAGCAGCAGCAAAGAAGTAAATAACGTAGGGGTGACAGTGGGGGAGGGGGGGCTGCAGGATTGTTTGTTGCAAAAGCAGTGTGTGTGTTTGCATGATCATCGCAGGTTCTGAATTGTTTAATTATCTAGAAAATGTTGACACATTATTATGAGGCCTAGGTTCCTCTACTTTGGTTCTGAGCTGTTAGTTTCCTTAGCCACCTTCCCTGCTTTGGCTCACCTTATCTCTTGTTATTGGCCAAACAAAAGAGTAATGGAGACCCTCATCAGATCTGGCACCTTTTCTCGCAAATCAGAGTAAAATCAGTGCACTGGAGGAATCAAGAGAATGATCCAAAGTTACAAGATGAATTGGTAAAGCTCTGCCAAAAAATTTCCCCACTGCTTCTTTGTGGTTCCCTGCTTCCCCTTTTCTTTGCAATACGCCATCTGAAGCAGATGAATCAGGAATGGAGGCAGCTGTATTGCTGACATGGAGAAGGCAGAGGCGTAATAGCCATAGCATTTAGACTTATATACCACTTCACAGTGCTTTATAGCCTTCTCTAAACAATTTACAGAGTCAGCCTACTGCCCCCAAACAACCTGGCTCCTCATTTTCTGAACTCAGAAGGATGGAAGGCTGAGTCCACCTTGAGTCTGGGGAGATTTGAACTGCCAAATTGCAGGCAGCCGGTAGTCAGCAGAAGTAGCCTGCAGCACTGCACTCTAACTACTGTACCGCCCTGGCTCTTGAGTAGCCACAAAAAGGCCAAAACTAATCCAGGACAATTTGGTGCCTCAGGCAGAATATTTGCATAGAATTTTTATCAACTTTCTCACAAATTACCCAAACGTGTCATCCATTCAGAAGTTGGGGTAATCTTGAAGTACATTAGAAGGGAGTATGTATCAGTGTAACAAGACAGTTATTTCAATGGGACTTACACCATATGAATATAAGTGCCCTATGAACCAAATCCTCCTACCTCCAATCAATTCTCCACCAATTCTTATAAAGTCATGCCACTACTCACTGGTTCAATTTATCTTATGACAGAGCTGTCTCCAGACATGGCATTACTTTCCATTATTTCCACCCTTTCTCTTTTAAGAAACCCTCTATTCTATCCACCGAAGGATAAGAGGGGAGAAAAGGTTAAAAAAGAAATAATTGTGACTGCAATCTTATAAATCAGCCTTCTCCAAGGTGGCAATCTCCAGATGTTGTCAACGGCAACTTTCCAAGCATGCAATTAAATCAGTATTGCAATGAGCATTTTGGTTGGGAAGGTTTTGGAATTAGGGGCCCACACAGGTGGAACATGTCATATTGGGAAAGACGGATGTACGGTGCTGTCTTTGGCATGTTTACTCAAAAGTAAATCTTTATATGTTCAATGGAGTAATTTTAGACTTCCAGCATTAATCCCATAGCTGTTCCTGGAATGTAAGCAGCTGGTGAGCAAAACTGCAGCCAGAATAAGCATATGCAGAACTTCAGGATTTTTTTTTTCATGTCCTGGAAAAAATATTTAATTTATTTGTTATAATTACTGTTGAAAATTCTGTATGATCAAAACTATTGTCCTTTAAGAAGTTTTTAAAATCATGCTGCCTGTGTTCTATTGTAGAATTATCTAAAGTGAGAAGGTCAAGAAAAAAATTTCCCACTACTATTCTGCTAACATAATAGATAAATTTCCATAAAAAGGAGCTAAGTATATATGTGCATAGTAAACAGCTCCAGCACAAGAAAATCTGCAAATAATTATATATCTTAGCAGGCAGCTAACCTACAGTGGTCTGATTATGATGAAATATTAAATCATTGTATGAAAAACTATTTGTGATTCATTTGCCAGATATTACGCCTGTTGCAAAGGTATATAGCCATCGGTAATACTCCACAGCAAGCTCAGGTACTGCCGTTTTTATTTCTCTTAATGGAAACACCTTGGTTAAAAAAAGGTCACATTTTAACTGTCTTGCGCTGCAATTGTTCTGATATATAGTGCTATAAAATAATAACAATTCTATGTTATGATATGAAGCCAAATAATATATTCTGAATAAATAAAAATAAGTAAACATTAAAAAAACCAAAGTGAAGTAGGAAACAATGGGATAAAAGCAATACATAAAATAAATAAAAATGAGATAAAATTGGCAAGTAGCTACTGATTAATCTTATTGCTGGCTTGAAGAAAATAAACTTATGATATGTTTGCTGGGTAATATTTTTTTAAAAAAACTCAAATCTAATGGCAATTGATTTAGCCTAGAATAGGATGTCCAATCTTGGCAACTTTAAAACTTATGGAGTTCAACTTCCAGAATTTCCCAGTCAGCATGGTGTCAGCCTTGAAACCATTTTGGGAGCATCTTCAGGGCTGCCATAGCAAGGATGGATGGAGCTGTGGGAATGTTAGGGGGGAGGTAGAGATAGCTGGGGGATGTGTAGCCAAACTAACATTCTTTCCCGTGGGAGCCAAGGACGTTTTACTAGGTGTTGGAGAGGCGTGAACAAAATGGAGTTGGGATTGCAACCTGATTGGACCATGTGATGGACATGTGACCTGGGAGCAACAATTTTGGGTTTTGATTTGGGTGGGGAAAACTCTGGGTCCTTCAGAGTCAGGTTTTCACCAGCTGGGTCAAATTGACGTCCCAAATAAAATTGTGCTTTGAGGAAACTCTTGGCCTCAGAGTTTTGATTGATTTGGGGTTGTTACTTGGAACCCTGACACATGGCTGGCTGGGGAATTCTGGGAGTTGAAGTCCACAAGTCTTAATGTTGATAAGGTTGGACACCCATGGCCTAGAATCTAAGGTAGCAAAGTATGCATAGAAGGAAATCCTGATTCCAAATGGAACAAGAATGTTCTGAGAAAAAATGATAGAACAACACTTGGAGGCAGAGGAGCCTGAGAAAGGCCAATTCCTCCTTGCGTACAATGTAGTTTACATTTGCCAGCACTACCTTTGAGCTTCTCTCAATTCCTCCCCCTCTGCTGTTTGCAAATGGAGATGACATCCAAGCCAAAGGACTTTCCAGTTGCAAATGATGCCTCTGAGTCCCAAGCATTTTCTATTGTGCCGAAGGGAGAAATTCACTGGGAGCAGGGAGGGTAGTGTTTCCCGGTCTCAATCTGCAAACTTTCTTTGAAAGTATTCATGGAATATGCACCCTCCCCCCCTTTTCTATTTGCCATAAATGCTTGCATATCCAGAGGGTTTCTGAAATAAATAAGAGAGTGGTCCATTATTACCATTTAATCAGGAAAATTCCTAGGGTTTAATCCTTGCTTCAAGATGTAGCAATTAGTGCTCATGAGAACTACTTTAATGTTGTTATAATTTTTTTTATAATGCTGCTAGCCAATAACCCGGTGTTGCCTGGGTATTCTGGAAAATGTCCAGATCAAACATAATTTCTAATGTTGGATTTTCCCCCTTACCAGAGGGAGCCACCTGGGAAACTGTTACCATGGCAACTCCACTGCGCTGTACAATAGAAGCCATTTTACGGCAGTACAGTAGAAGCCATTTTAAGGCACAACAGGCTGTATCTTAACAGAACACAGATCCCAAGGGGTGTTAGGGTATCTTACCCCCACAGTATTTGTTTTAACCAAGTTTGGTTGAAATTGCTTGAGGTGTTCCAGAGTTATGCTGGAACACACACACACACACACACACACACACACACACACACACATATATCTCTCCTCAGGTTGATGTTTTT